GTATCGTCTTATTGAATTTATTCGTACATTAATAAATAATAAAACAACAGTTAATACATTTCTTCAAACATCACATTGGTTTTTAGTTTTAAAATTAACTATTTTTGAATGGCGTATACCAGCTCCGTAGTGTGCTATTAATGAATATGCCAAAGAAATTCTTGATCATTCATATAAAACTGTTCGAGAGTATATTGCTAAGTAAAAGAAAATAAATCATAGATTATAATGAATAATAATTAATTTTCTCGTTTGCATAGTGTTTTATCAGTATCACTTAGTTTCGACATTAAACTACCCAATGGTCAATCAACACGTTATCCCGATGCAAATCTTTTTATTGATGCTATTCGTGAACGATTACATCAAGCGATAGAAATTTACGAAAAAAAACCGTTAGGTCAATTTCTACTAAAAAAACAGTCTAAATTTTCTATCAAATAATCCATTCACTAATTTCAACTTGAAATATCTAATTTAACGAGATTTTGACATACAAAGAAAGACAATAGCTTTCTGGAATAAGATTTCTTTGCCATTTTCATGTATATTCAGTTAACAAATGGCATTCGATCCCATACTTTGATTATGAATAGCACTAGATGAAATTTTAAAAAATCCATATGAATTCAGACTTATAGGCTAGCTATTTTCGGAAAACTCAATGACAATTTTTTTAGCTATATGTAAGTTTCATGGATATTAGAATCTAAGTAGGGCTCATTGTGCAGATACAAAGCCCGGAAGAACTCATGCCATTCAATTTTTCGTCTTGATTTATAATCATTTTTACAAAACTTTTAGCCTATTGTAGGATATTATGAGAAAAATTACAACAAGAAATTTCATTCTTTATGATATATTGAACGTTTTAGCTCAAATCGATGTTTTTCTTTTAAAATAATTCGTTTGCAAAAAAACAAATTACTTTCATAAAAGGGCTCCAAAAATATTCTAGATTTTAGTCATACAATATCTTAAGATAAAATGATTCATTTGAGTTGAAATTTTCAGAACATA